GAATGATGTACAAATGCGCTTTACACAATTGATGTGTGTATGGATTGCGATAACAGTTGTATGAGCCCCTAATAAAATGTTAAAAAAAAAAGAGGATCAGCCAGGAATATCTGGTGCTGGAATGCACAAGGGCTCAAAACTTGATGATGGCGTTGCAAAAAGCTGTGGGAGTGGCCTGAGGGGCTTCAGCTACACAGCTGTCGGGCGTCGCAACAGATACTGACAAAACCAGATTGTTACCACCATGAAAAATGAGGGAAGAAAATGATGGAGGGAAGGAGAAAAGCCAAGCTTTTCTTTATCAATTAATAAATGCAGATGGGATGATGGCATTAAAAAAACACCATTTTGCAACTCTTATAGTAATAAATTATCCCAGGGGGCTAACATCACTGGGCGAAAGTCTGATGAAGGAAGAATATTTGTATAGCTTTACTAATTACAATGGGGAAAAAAATTGTAAGCTTGCAGTGGAAAAGCCACATGGTTACAACTTTAATCAATGTACTATTCTTGCCACAAATGCTTACCCGGATTTAATTCTGAGACAAACCTATACTCAGGGGACAGTCTCAAGATCACGTGCCTGCACTCTTGGACAATGTCAAGGACACAGCTGAAGAGGTTCGAGGCATGGCCATGAGACCAATGTGGCATCCCAGACTGGATCCTAGGCTGGGGAAGGCATGCTCTATAAGGGACATTATGGGAAACCGGGCTCCAAAGTACTTGAAGGGCAATCCATGTAACATGGAGGCCTGAGCACTTTTTTCCCCAACAAGTTCTCAGAGGTGATGTTGAAGCGGATGGTCCTAGGACTACACTTCAAGAGCAACTGGATTCACTACTAGCATTTTATCACTGTTAAATTCCCTTTATTTTGCTAATGTAGGCTTACGTGTTTTTCTTAGGAAATGTGGAAAATACACGCTGAGATGCTGAAGGGAAAAAGAGTCATGATGCCTGCAACTTGCTTTCAAATTGTTCTTTATAGCCAATGGCAAGACAGCCTTGTACCTTAAATCCCAAGAGAGGGGGTCGAGAGCAACTTGTGACAAACTTGAGCAACTTGCGCTTTTCCTCATCAGTGAACCCTTCCACGACTCTCCAAAAGATTTTAATGACAGGGTGGTCTGCTGAATAGCCTCCTACAAGAAAAGGAAGAATATTTTATTGCAAACAAAGGAAATTGTGAAAGAGAGTTCTCTTAAAGGCAGTGGGTAATGAACTTAGAAGACTGTTTCCTTCGCATTTTTCAAGCTCGGCCACATTGGTGAGGGGTTAGAACCCCCGCCCCACCTTCCATCCCCCCCTAAGACGACATCATGGGCAAAGTGCACAAAGGAGAAACTAATGACGAATCAAAATAGACAAAGGCCAGAAAAGGGGACAACCTATAATGACAAGTTGAACACTGGCAGCAAAAAAGACTGCTACTTACAGTTCTTAATCTAGTTAAGTGCTTCCTAAAACTAAAATAATTGCTATATATTGTTCCCTCATTGTTAATATACTACGGAAATAACATCAGTAAGAAAACCTTAAGTGCATTAATTGGCACCAAAATGAATATGATAATATTTTAAACCTATTTACTGGAATAGATAAAATCATTAAAGGTATAAGCTTTCAGCACAGATAGGGTACTATAAACAACTTAAGAAGACAATTTCTTGGCAAAGGCGAGGTTCAATTGATTGCACATTTCAAACTTATGACTTGATAGTCGGGAAGATATGACCTTAAGATATTATTTGCATTTACATAAAGATTAGAGTCCAAATGTAGAGCAGTCCAAATGAATTGCAAAAAGAGGATATATCTGCAGGCACACTAAGTAAACATATTTATGTGTACATAACTTAAGCAAATTGACAGTTAGACAACCTAATTTTAGAACATTGATCTACTGTTACAGATGTTTCAGATAAGCAGAATTATATAATAATAGAAGCCCTTTGCATCTGGCCTCTTCTACTTTCCATAATAGTTTTGTATTTATAGTATTCCTTTCCATGCAAAATAGTATTCCATCTTATGGGCACACCACATTTAGTTTATCCAGTCACCGGGTGAGGGGCATTTTGGATTATTTACATTTTGTGGCTATATAATGTTCCTATGGAAGTTTACAGGCACTTGTGTGGGACATACGTTTTCACAAAATCCTGGAGTTGGAGTTTCTGGCAAGTTTATGTCTAACTTTTAAAATAACTGCCAAATGAATTCCAAGCGGCTCCATCATTTTCCATTCCCACCACTCCTGAGAGTTCCAGTTCCTCAACCTGCTCCCTAGCAGTTAACATTGTTCATCTAGTCGGTGTGTTATCTCATTTAGGGTTACATTTCACAAGTTTGGAAAATGATGCACATCTTTCTTCATGTGCTTATTGTTCGCCTGGCCATTCATTATCTTCTTTAGTTAAATATCCTTTTGCTTGCCCATGTTTCTTTCATTAGATCAAGGCCAGCAGTCTGAAACCACCAGTCACTGTGCGAGAAAGACGGGGCTTTCTGCTCCCTTAGGGTGCTGGAAACTCACAAGAGCAGTGCCACCCTGCCCTAGAGGGTCACTTACGCTAGCATCGACTCCATGGCAGCGAGTCTGGTTTTGGTTTTAGTTTTGAATATATATGTTTACACACACACACCATTATTATTATTAAAAGATTTCCTCCCAACCTGTGTGTTAAGCTTTCATTTAAAAAATGTCTTTGGATGCACAAAAGCTTCTAAACTTTTCCCCCCCTGATCTAAAATGTAAACACATCCCCGCAGCAAACACACACACCAATTCAGCTGTACATGTATAATTTAGTGACTTTGATTACTTTCTTTGAGTTGCACAATCACTCTGCTTGTCTCAGTGGGTTCCCCTCAAAATAATATAATCTCACTGCTTCCCTAAGGCTTCTGTCTAATCTTTTCAATTGCTGTGGTCAGTTTGATCCCATGTCACAAGGCAAACTCACGGCCACCAAGTCAATTCTGGCTCCCAGACTCCCCACAGGGCAGGGTAGAACTGCTCCTGTGCATTGCCAAGACTAACGCTTTGCGGGTGCAGAAAGCCTCATCTTCCCGTCCCAGAGCAGACCACATTTGCACCCTACTATGTCATTAGGGCTCTGCTGATCCCACACAGAGGGATCTTTAAAAAGAGAATAATACTAGAGGCAGTCTTTCTTTACCAGTAATGCAGTTTGGTTTAAAACTTCAAGGGGGGTATTTTTGGCTTAAAGATTAGTTTAGGGCAATAATTTTAGGGGGTTCATCTAACCTCCTTAGCTCCAGAAAGGTTGAAGTCCATGAGAATTTGAAAATCTGGTTTGCATTTGTCCTCTTTTGATCAAGATTCTGCTATAGAATTTTTGAGCAAAAGTTCAGTAATATTAGCTAGCCACTGTTCAGTTCCAGTCTCACTGCAGCTGCTCATGGAAACAATTAGTCACAATTTCATACCTTCCTTCTATTCCAAAGTTTCCTCCTCTGTACGTTGCTCTAAGAAAATAGAGACCAATTGTTGAGTCTTGGTTGGCTGCTTATCAGCTTTTAAGACTACAGGCACTATGTGTTTTAGGCCAATTAACTGGGATGGCCCAAGAAACCATGACCCTCAGCAGTCTCAGCAGCTATTCCTTTTGTTGTTGCTGTAAATATCTACCACATAATTTGCCGATTCGACTTTATACAGGTGTACAGCTTATTGACAGCAATTACCAGCTGTGCCATCCTATTCTTGATCAGTGTGGTTTTTCCAGCACTACAACCCAGACCTCAGCACTCCAAGCGTTGCTTTGTGGAGAGGACATATATTCTGAAGGCTTTTTACCACATCTATGGCTGGTTGTTCAGTGTTACCTTTCTTTTATTGTTAATGTTCGTTTTTGTTTTTTGCCTAGCACTTTTGCCTTTTAGTTTTGTCTTTGGTTGCTGCAGCTTTTATTTTGCTAGCACTATTTTTAGCAAAGAACAACAGCAAAAGGTAAGAAATGGTCAAATATCCTAAGTCAAAACTTGTGAAATGAAATACAGTCTCAGGCACCAGTGTAGAAAAATAAAAACATATTTCCTATGTTAATGTGGAAAGATCTCAAAGATACATCTTGAAAAAAGAAAACAAAGCACATGATGCAAAAGAGTATGTAAAAATGATGGAAATAATCAAAGTTGCATTTCTTTTCATTTAGACATGTGAAGACAGTCTGGAAAATTACACCAGGAACTAAAAACAATGGGTATTTCTGACAGGAGGAAGTTGGGTTAAGATGGGCAAAGTGGAAGGAGAATACCTCTTTATACGCTCGATTTCTGAATCATGTAAATGAACTACCCACAGGAAAAGTAAAATTAAATTTATTT